TGTGCACACGAATGCAGAATCAGATCAAAAGTGAAAGCTTTAATCCAGCTGGCTCGTAGGGACACATGAAATGCAGCGTGAGGTGAGAGGAGGAATCACGCTGCTTTATCTTGAGGTAACAGATAAAGTGAGCTCAATGAGGTTTTCTGAACTTTAACAGATTTCTGACATTGACTTGCATCGTATTATTTTCTAGGTGGAGGTTCCAGTGGTAATTAGAGGGGGTCAAAAAATGGTATCAGTGTTTGATGCTTCTTTCATTTTCTTTTCAACATAACCAAGAATATTTTAATTATAGATTTTCTTTTATTAACTTGAATTTTGAGACAATCGGCATCGGCTGATGCCTGTGCTCACAAGGCCGATAATGTCTGCAGTCACAGTCCTGTACTATAACTCTGATGCATCCTGCTGTAAACATTTGCCAAAATGTCCTTAGTCACCATCATCTTTTCTAAATAATTACACTTTTCTCCCACCTAAAGCAATGTATTTTTCTATTTCATCAATTGATAAAAATTCCATCTAAAACATGTTACTGGCTAAGATATCCATGTATATTAGATTGTAATGTGCATGGAACAATGGAATTATTAATCTGCATTATATATTGACCATGAAAAAACCCATACTGTAATTACTATTAGTAATTAAGTAATATAAAATACTGTACATCTCAGCATGTGCTTTATATGACTTAAACAGCCAAAATCTTATAATTTAGCACAAGTTATGACTTGATGTTTGGATTTTACTTAAGCATAATCTTAAACAATATCTAACACTGTGAGTTTATCTCTCTACACCAAAGCCAAGACTCGGTCTCTTCAATCCACCTTAAGGGCTACTAATGGGATTTGAGGATGTACAACTGACCTAAGTCAGTACAAGTGACTGTCCAGTTTCATAGTGAAAGTGAACAAGATAATGACATTGAACTTTTCCCCTTCCACAGTTTTATTTATTTAGTAAGTTGAAAATTCTCAAACTTACAGAATAAACCTAACAAAGATGTGTTTAGGGAAATATTTCTGTAATAATTCATCATCCTGGTGATTTTGTTTCCAGTTTCAGTTTCATCATTGCTGTTTTGAGCCTTGAATAATCTCCACTCTTTCAACATCCACATTTTCACATGCAGGTGAAGATAGATGTTTCAAATGTCCAGGGATTACTGTAAAATACTGCCCATCCTACAATCCCATCAGAAGCTATTATAGATGGGTTGAAGGGACCTGGTTTTGCTGTGTATTAACACACACACTGTAAAATGAAGTATATTTTAAACCTCTTAAATACAGTCAAAAGATGACACCAACAACAGTAGTGTGGCATCATGGGCGTGAACGGAGCTGTTGCTAACGCTAGCTCTGACGACTTAGGATTCAGACATCCAGTAACTAAAATCCTTTATCTGAAAAATATAAATATATATATTATATAAAAAATATATGGTTAAAAAAAACAAGATCTTTAAAGTGTATTGTAAAAATGTAATTTATGATTTGGCTTCTGGCAGACAACAACAGCGCTGTGTCATGTGCAAAGGGGATATGTTGCCATTGACAGGCGACCGGTGAAACGCACCATAATAAAATTACGTATTTCTCTGGGTTTTTAACATTGTTTAGTGTTTATACACATTTTAATGTGGAAATGTTACATATTATAGCTTTAATGTAAAAAACACTCTGCAGCATTTAACAAAAGTTGAGGACATATTCTATTCTATAGCATTCTTTTTAAATCATACTTTTGATGTGTGGTTGATGTTGACATCTTGCCAGCAAACCACATGTTGCACAGTACCTGCTGGGTGATCATGCCAGGAAAGATCTTGTGATTGAAGAACACACACAGTGACAGTGTTTATTGGTTGGTTTGATTGCAGAACCTCTGGGGCTTTACAAGAATATACCAGTAACTACACAGACAAACCGAGCATGCAAGACCCCTTAAATGTGTGATTAAGCAGCTTACTCAGTTTGGGGCAACCCACACACAGAGACATGACACATCACCTCTTGCTGTGTATGGAGACTCTGCGTAACTCCACACTTCCTGTGACTTAAAAAGTCACTAATTTGGTCATAAGCACATACAGATACAGTTATACTCAGATCCTTTCTCACACCCCAACAAACACAGTGTGCATTGTTTGGTTCTGTTATGAGCTGCGTGATTGACCGCAGGGTTGTTGTTGATGAAGTGATCCAACAGCGAAATCACAGTGTGGCTTCATTCGTTGTGCTGATGTGACACTCAAGAGGAAGGGACTGTAGAAGAGGAGGAGGAGAGGGAGGTGTAGGAGGAAGAGTGAGGAAATCCCTCCGTCTGTGGTCAGGTAGAGGATTGTACTTCTCTCACTGAAGAGGAAGCCCGTATGTTCTCTCTGGAGTCATATCCCCAACAATCACATCAATACTAAACAAGGAGATCTATCAGAAAACACTGAGGTCACCACAGAATAGAGGAGAGCCCCTGATTATGATACACACCTGCTTCAGCGAGAACTATGAGAAGCTCTATGATTGGAACAAAACTGCCGCGCCGAGTGAACATGGCCAGGTGCCTCTGAGTTGGCAAATCGCTACTAGACTCTGGGACAACACACTCACACATCTCTGAGCAGCACATCACAGACAACTCACCAGATGCTACATGATAACAGCTGAGCAGTTATTTAATATGACTTCTGCTGTGTTCCAATTGCTCGTCCACAGCTCTCATATATATACTCTTCATTAGACAAGCTTACACGAACAACCTCAAGGAATGATAAAAGATATATCATGAGACAGTTTAAATCGTGATACAAATATGTGAAGATTCAAATTTGTGAGATATAAAATTAATTGTGGTATCAAAGAACAGACTCCATTATTATTATTATTATTTTTTTGGCCTTTTTGCCTTTATTTGATAGAGATGGCTGGGTAGAAGCAGGAAGGGGGGGCAGAGAGAGAGGGGACGACATGCAGCAAAGGGCCGCAGGTCGGACCCGAACCCGGGCTGCTGTATGGGTCGCCAGCTCTACCGACAGAGCTAACCGGGCACCCCACTCCGTTATTAAAAGAAAAGGAAATACGCATTGTTTTTTGCAGTTTATACCCATCCTCAGAAATAAAAAGGATCCTATAATTTAAAAAATTGTTAGAAAATCGTATTATGAAGCCAGTATTGTCAGTTGTATTGGTTGAGTGTGTGATTACATCCCTATTTCAGACTGTTGGTCAGACAAAATTAGCAACTTGTAGACGTCAACTCATGCTTTGGGAAATTATAATGGAAACTGTTTCAGTATTTTATAACTATTTTCAGTAGTTAATTGTTAGTTGCAGCCCCACATTGATTATTTAAATTGTAGAGGATGAATTGTCTAATTATTATATAACTAATTATTAAATCAACTAGTTGTTTCAGCTTTATAGCAGTAAACACTGAGGTGAATATACAGTATATAGATCAGGTACAAAGTACACTCCATTATTAGCTTGAAATTAATGTTTTTTCTATTTGTACATGACAACATTTATTTATTTCTTTATTTATGTGTCCAAAACAACAAATATTCACAACAGTAAATTGTGTCTCTTTACATTGTTTATCAGAGTAGCAATTCTTCTGCATGAGCAAGAAACACCCCCATATTAACACATTTACCAACTTCCCCGTGCAGCGCACAGTATGTCTTATTTCTCAAGCTGTAATAAAAACATCACTTCCTGTGAAACTGACCGCATGTTTAAATTTGTCAGTTTGGGGGTGACCACAAAGGTAAAGAGCTGAGTCACTGTCATGGTTTGAATTAAAGGTTGAAGGGTCAGTTCAACCGTCCACAGGTCAGTCGCCTTCGGTCAGAGATTCATCAATGAGCGAGCTGTTGAAATGTGGAAAGTTCAAAGTTGCATTTTGTTGTATGTTGGTTAGGATGGAGGGGAGGGGCGGTAGGGTGTTACCAGTGTTACCTCTGAGCGAGTAGAAGTAGATTTTAAGCAGCTAGAGAGAGAGAGAGAGAGAGATGGATTAACAGTAATCTAACAAATAGAGGAAATGCATGATGGGAAGATAACAGACGTTGTTTTGCGAGCGTGTGTTTTTATTTTATGTAACAAGTCATTAGGATCATGCTTTAGTACTTGATTGCTCTGGGAAAGACTTTACCCCGAACTCTTAAGGGGACTCCACAGACAGCCTTTGTTGTGTAAACGAGTCCGCTACACAAAACTGTATAGACACATGGTGCTACATGTGTAATTATACACACACATATACACACACTGCCCTCTCTGTTGACCAATGAGGCCTAAAGCTGGCTGGTCCTTACAGATTCTACTTGTTTACTCTGGGTTTTTGCCATTTTGTTGTCAATCATTGGTATTTATCCTGAACTTACGCTGTTTACTGAGGGTTTACTTCACGGTTTTACACCATGTTGACATTATTTTTAAATTGAGTTCTCTGTTGTTTTTATCTATTTGTGTGTGTGCGCATGCAGGACTTGAACAAACGTCTGTCCCTGCCGGCCGACATCCGGATACCCGACGGTTACCTGGAGAAGCTGCAGCTGAGCAGCCCTCCCTTCGACCAGCCTCTGAGCCGACGCTCCCGCAGAGCATCACTGGTGAGATGGATAGAGAACAGAGGGAGAGGGATGGGAAAAGAGGGGGACACTGGTTAGAGGACAAGAAAAGAGAAGATGATAATAAGACAGAGGTGAAAATTTTGAAATTAGCATTACCTTTTGGTTTTCTTGCCCTTATGTCAACAAAGTGGCAATAAAAGTCCTTGCTAGCTACACAGGTGAAGTTCTATAGCTGCTCAATTACTTTATTGTTAAAAGTGTCACACCCCCCTTTTGTTGAGCCCTGCTTCATCACAGTCCTGCTCATTGGTTTTCAACATTACCCGTAATGGTCTGATACACCCAAAGTTATTAAAGGAAGCGCTACTAAACTGTCAGATGAATATAGTGAAAGAGAAACTACAATGTTCCCCTGTGAAATGTTGTGAAAAGACATTTTTCCTTTTTAAAAGCTCAAGTGATAATACCTTCGAACTGTGCTTATGTAATTGTGCAATACTTGTTGCCCACGTCTGAGAGCGAGAATTACTGATTTGAGGATCAACAGTGGAGGAGAGTCGCACAGAAATGGAAACGGAAAGGCTGCCAGGGAGGGGCTGCTGAATACAAAGATAGCTGTGAGAGTTATGTTTCATTTAAAGGCAACTAGAAACGGAAGTGAGAGAGGAAGAGCTCACACCTTGCCCTCACACTGGCTAACCTCATCCTCTCTGCTGTCATGTGTTTGCATTGCACCTTGACATACACTTTGTCAGCAGCCTCAGTAATTGGGTTGTGGTTTTACTTTGAATGTACATCTGTCAAAAGCAGATCAGAGGGAATGTATGAACTACCTCAGTCCACTGCATCTGCATGCACACTCCCCTGCAGAGTTGTTCAGAAAGCACTGAATGGCTTTTGCTCAATATGTGTTCAACATGTGAAAAATCTGTGAGCTACTCTGACTTCATGCTGTACCGAGGGTCGATTTTAAAGTCTGGTGAAGCTGCCTTTTGTTTTTACACTCTTAGTTACTGGAAAAAGCTTTCCTGAATTTTCAAGATAACCTAAGACTCTCACTTCCTTTAAAAGCTGCCTTTCATAATGAGTATTACATCTTAGTCACTGAATAGTTTGTATGTGCGCTTTTTGTAGCTGAGAAGTTAAATGTCACATGCATTATTTCTTTCTATAAATTACATTAAGGCAGTTACTAATCGACTGTCAGAAAATAGTGAAAAAAGTCATTTCCCACAGCCAAAGATGATGTACTTTTACTTTTCTACTTTTCTATCATACACGATAAGGAAAGCAGCAAATCCTGACATTAAAGAAGCTGGAACCTGCAAAAGAATATGACATTTTTGCTCAAACAAATGAGTAAAAGCAGTTCTGAAACACGTTACAGCTTTCCACTGCGTAAGAAACCTGCTTTATAAATAAAGTTTGCCTTCCCTTCCCTATAAACAAACACATTGTAAAAGCCAAAAGCCAACAGTCCTTTGTCACAAGAGATTAGCTCTGATGTTGGTTGGGGGTGTGTGACCTCCTTACATCCCCCCTCTGTTGCTGTGAGGCCGTCATAAGGATTTGCCGTAGTGTCTGTAAGCTTGTCACTGCTAATAAAGACACCACCCTCATTAATGCTGTTTGTCCTTTTCTCTCCTCCAGTCAGAAATTGGATTTGGGAAGTTGGAGACCTACATCAAACTGGACAAACTAGGGGAGGTACGTGAGAGTGTGTGTTCGCTGTTAACCTTGACTTCCACACAGGTGCGGATGTTCTCATTGTGATATAACTCGTACTTCCAGAGTTTACTTTTAACCCCTGACAGCCTGACTGTGCTGCATCAGTCCAGCTTCTGAAACCTTTCCTCACCTCTTTTCCTTCTCCTCCTCTCCTCCAGGGCACGTACGCTACAGTCTTCAAGGGGAGGAGTAAGCTGACAGACAACCTTGTGGCGCTGAAGGAGATCAGACTGGAGCATGAGGAGGGGGCGCCATGCACAGCTATCAGAGAAGGTACACAGGTTCACCTCTTACGTTTCCCACAGCTGCCTCCAGTTAGATTCACTGTGGATCCTAGTGTTTTATAATAAGCAGCTATCTAGTATTTTATTTTATTTTTTTTAAATGAATCCTGGGATTTCACACCATTTTAATTTGAAAACAGCTCCAGATAATTCACCTTTATTGTAATTTTCTGATGGTACTATTTCATAGTGATGACATTATGTGGCAGTAGAAAAGTTCCACTTAAAAAAACAAACTTAACTCTACCCATATTCTGTTCAACAGTTTTACAGAGAGCGCAGTGCAGTGACACAGCAGGAAAGTGTTTCACACATTTGTCATGTTGTAGAAGCTGAACTGAATGGTGTTTTAGCATGAAAATGAATTGTAAGAAACTACAGCAGGTAAAAAGTTAATAGAGTTTTACTGCTATAACTGCAATATAAAGTTGTACTGTATCTACGACAGTTACACTGAAGCGTTAATGAGCTTCTGAAAGGGCGTCTTTGTTTCAGTACTTGTGGTTAGTTTTGAGTGAGGATTTAAGAGCAACTACAGGAGAGAACCAAAACATGCAAAGTTTTATAAGGAAAACAAATCTATGAGGCTTTTCTTTGTGTATGATGTCAGACGTTCTGAGTAAACCTTAATTAGTGCAAATCCAGAGACTGTCACTGTTACAGCTGTCTCTTTCTTCTCCTCTAGTGTCGTTACTGAAGGACCTGAAACACGCCAACATTGTGACGCTGCACGACATCGTCCACACAGACAAGTCGCTCACGCTGGTCTTCGAGTACCTGGTGAGACCAACAAGACCTCTGCCCTCACTTCCTGCACGACTCGCATATTATTCTGTGCACAGATGCTAAAATAAATATATTTTTACATCATTATTATTCATGGATGACAACACGGGAGCACAACAGTTGGTGTGCCTGTAGCCTCTCTACTCTGTTAACGTCCCCCCCTCTCTCTCTTTCTCGTCTAGGACAAAGACCTCAAGCAGTACATGGACGACTGCGGGAACATCCTGAGCATGCAGAATGTCAAGGTGAGCCTCCGCAGGCAGCCTGCTGGCCCGGCCAACTTCATCAACTGTCACACTTTGTGGCTGCTGGTGTCAACACAAGAAATGCTGTTAGTGTGCCCCCTGGTGGAGGAGTGTAGACAGTGTAGGGCGAAAGTGAAATGTGTTTTCTATTTGTGTATTTTACTTCTATTTGTGTTGTTTGTGTGCATTTTTTTGAAACTTAGTTTAATGTATCTTTGAATAGGAATGAAAATACTTCAGATTGCATATTAAAACTCATCTTAAACATTTTACTCTTCTAAATAATCTGTATTGCAGGTGGATTTGGATTTATACAGCAACAGCATCTATAACATAATAATAATTTTAATTCAGCATAACTATGTGACAAATTGCTGATCTAAAATATTTCTCTCCCCAGATATTTCTGTATCAGATCCTGCGAGGCTTAGCTTACTGTCACAGACGCAAAGTCCTCCACAGAGACTTGAAGCCCCAAAATCTGCTCATCAACGACAGAGGAGAACTCAAACTGGCTGACTTTGGTAAAAAAAAAAAAAAAAACTAAAACTTTATCAATTATTTATTATTATGATTGAACTTATTTTGTGTGATAAGTTTTTGTTCAAATGGCTTATTTACCGTTTGGATGAAAAGTGACACCTTTACGTTTCCGAAGCTGCGTTTATTTATATTTTACAAACACTGTGTGATACAATTGAGCCATATTAGAGAAATGATGAATATTTGAGATCTTGGAATGAAACCCTTTGTATGAACTTTTAATAAATGTGTCCATTGGATCTGTTTTTATTTCTCATATTTCTGCTCCACAGGCCTGGCGAGGGCCAAGTCTGTGCCCACTAAAACATACTCTAACGAGGTGGTAACACTTTGGTATCGGCCTCCCGACGTGCTGCTGGGCTCCTCCGAATACTCCACACAGATAGACATGTGGTGAGTGGGCCTCGCTAAACAGGGGTGATTACAACTGTTAGAAAACACAAAGTAGACTCCTGGCTACGCTCTCTCTTTACGTCCACATGACTGGGCGCAGTGAAGGTGCAGCGGCAAATATAATCCTCAAGCAGAAAGAACTCCTCTGATGAATTTGTCATTTCTCCAGCCGCTTCAGTGATTTTTGGTGTAAGCACAGACGTTTGGAGCTTCTTTGATTTAATTGATGCTCTTATGTTGAGCAACTTATGAAGCGAGCAGCAGACAGGTGTCCTAATCTACAGCGAAGAGACTTTGATGTGGCACATGGCTGTTAATGAACGCGCTCAAGCTGTTGTGGAATTCAACTCCGAAAGGTTTCTCTTAAACTTCAAAGTACCGTGCTGCTTTCTCACATACATTCCTGCCTCTTCCTTTGATATTTCACTCATCGGACAGATTGAAACCAGACACTTTAACGTACGATTCAGGGGGATTGATCCAAACAGTTAGTGGCAGTATAAATACAGAAGAGCTGTTGAGTTGAATTGGTGTTAAAACTTCGGTCAGACCTAATCCCTCCTGTCTGTGTCTTCTTGTCAGGGGTGTGGGCTGCATATTCTATGAGATGGCTGCCGGCAGGCCGCTGTTCCCAGGCTCCACAGTGGAGGACGAGCTGCACCTCATCTTCAGGCTGCTAGGTCAGTGGTGCCCCCTGCTGACAGGGAAGCACTCAAACTTTTAATATGATCCTTTAATCGCATTAACCCTGGCACGTAGCCCCTGTGGCAGTGTGAAAAGCCCCTCCAGCTGCCACGATAAAAAGCCTCACTCTAACAGGGTCGATTGAATGTCCCTCTACAGGCACTCCCACAGAAGACAGCTGGCCTGGAATATCCTCTATCGACGAGTTCAAGTCCTACAAGTTCCCCAAGTACAAGCCCCAGCCCCTCATTAACCACGCACCCAGGTGGGAAGGAAAACTTGTATTCTGAACATTTGCTTTTTCTTCCACTGTATATGGATTGTCCTTTTTTATTTGACATCAGATATTATGTACTGCATCTTATCAAATGTTACTTCTTTTTTTTTTACATTTTAGATATTTATATGGCAATTATACACTTTTACAGTTTCTTAACACTCCCTCCTCACCTCTCTTGTTAGCCCTCTAATCATTGGAGATGGGAATGAGCAAATGTTTCAAAACAGACCCAGGTATAAGAGCTGCAACTGCATGTAGAGCTTTTTAGTTTTTAGAGTTAGACATTAATATTATTGGTTTGTTTAGTTAGGAGTGTGTGCTCTGTGTCACTTCCTCTAAGGAAATCCTGTGGAATAGTTGACTCTGTTTGCTTCCTTACACTCGTCAGCATCTGTGCGTCACCCCACCTCTACTGACCTCTCTCTCTCTCTCCTGCCCCCCCCCAGGTTGGACACAGATGGCATCGACCTGCTGATGTCATTCCTAAAAGTGAGTGTTGCTGTATCTGCCAGGCATGATTGTGATGTTAAAAGCAGTGTGACACATTTCGCAGCTATGTTAGGACTGTATTTTTGGAAAGAAGCGCATCTAGGCAGGCCAACACATTCACATGCAATCACACAATGCTGACCCCATTTTTTTTTTTTTGTCGTTCTTTAATGACTTTATGTTTCTGTTACTTCCCCCGGATTTCAGTACGAGTCGAAAAAGAGGATCTCTGCTGATGAAGCAATGAGACAGCCGTACTTCAGGAGCCTGGGGCCACGTGTGCACACACTGCCAGAGAGTGAGTAATGAAATGGCACTGCAGTAATGCAGACTTGGCAGACTTCACTAGGTACAACTTGAAGGATATTGCCATGTACAGTGAGGATCGGTTACAGCCAAATAACAAAGAACACTATTCTCCTGGCAAGATGCGATTTCTGTTGCACTGACTGGCTCTTTATGTCTGCCAGGCATATCTATATTCACGCTGAAGGAGGTCCAGCTGCAGAGAGATCCCGGCTACCGGAACTCATCGTACCCTGAGTCAGGTGAGGGATAATACAAGTGTGAATACCTTTGATTGCTTGAGTTTACACTGTGAGCCAGAGGTTTTTCACACTGTGAGGTAGAAAGATTTAGTGGCATCTAGCGGTGTAGTTGCAAACTGCAACTGCCGTGCTTCACACTCTCCTTCCAAGCGCGAAGAAGAAACTATGGTGGCTGTGAAATGCAACAAAATACAGCCCTATCCAGTGCCAGTGTTTAGCTAAGTAGTTAGTAAAGCCTCGAAGCATTATGGGAGTTGTTCTTCCATAAGTCAGAGCCTGATTATCCCCTATCTGTTTGGGTGGACCCACAGTGTCTGACTTTGAAGTCCCCCGCTGTAAACTCTAAAAAACAGAATCATTTATGCTTTTTCTTTGTTTCCCCTCAGGCAACGGAAAGAGCAGAAGACAAAGCATGCTGTTTTAGATTCTTCGGACTGTATTTTTTTTTTTTTTTTTGGGAAGGATCTCCTAGCTGTACAGTCTCGCCGATGGATCAGTAACTTGAGATGAATGTTGGCAAGGAGCATCATCATGGTCATCACCCCCCGAGACTACTTGGGAAACCTGTGTCCACAGTGCGACCGACCCCCCCTTTGCAGGTTTGGCCTGAACCTGGCCCAAAAGAGACATTTATATACTGTACATCTATATTTATTGAGAAGAGAATTTGCTGCTAAATACAACTACTGTCTAGAATTCTAACTGGCTCAGTCACTTTAATGAGTACATGCAATGTGTATAGATTTTTAATTTTTGTTTTCTTTTTGAAGTGGTATTTTTAGTGATGTTTTTTGTCATTATTTCCATTTTCATACATACAAAACTCCACCTCATAGCTCATCAGTGTGTGCGCGTGTGTGTGAGGCACAAACAGAAGGATGTTTCTGTAGCAACTCAAAAAGGGGTTTGATTTTCTGTCTCTGTTGCCACAGTGCTGTTCTCATGCTGCACTCATTTGTGACCATTCATTCTGAAGGTTTTTGAGGCTAGCTTCGGTGGAATGGATCATTTTATCCTACTGGAGGCTAATATGAGAGCAGTGCTGCCAAACTCTGCAAAAAAAAAAAGGATCACATTCTTGTCAAATGCTGGCATATCATTCCAGGATGCTGTGGTCTTGTCGTGACCAATGAACAAATGCAAGGGGGGAGGGGGGGCAACATGGAGTTATTAACAAGGGCATTATGGGATTAGTTACGCCTCTTTAAATTCTTTAGAAAATATTTAACTACAGTGAACAACCTTCTCATCCTTTTCCACCTCAGTCTATTTTCTCCTCCCGTCTGTTACAAAGAGGAGGTGCAAAGTGAATTCCCAGTGTAAAAGCTGCCTTTGTGCATTACAGATGTGTTCTCCTTTCTGCCATTCCCATCTCCATCAACTTTAGACATTGATCCTTTTTTTTAATTTTTAGGATTGCCTCCATCATTGTGTTGCATGCCTGATCGGTTGTATGAGGAAGCACACAGCCACTGAAGTCCTAATTCAGGGAGCACTAGCTATAGTCCTGCCCCTAGTGAATACGATACTGAGTCACAGTCTGTTTAACAGTGTTACAAGAGATGTTTTGTATGATATTCTTTAACTTTATTTGTGAATAATTGTTATTGGTGTGGGATTTCGTTGCAGATGCCCTCCCATATTTGAGCTTTTTTTTTTCCAGAGTAAAGAAAATAAAATCTAAAGTTTAAACATAAATCTTTTGAACTGGTTTTGTTTCCAGTGTTATACATTTTGTTTTAGCTACTGTAAAAATGTTTAATTTAAGGCACCATGTTAAAGCATTCAATGCTTTGTTTATTGAAAATGACAAGACATTCTTCACAATACAAAATTATACAGAATACAAACTGTATACCAAGTCCAGTATAAAAAAAAAGAACATTAAGTGTTACAAAGGTTTTTCATTGATTTGAAATCTCGTCTTCATTAAAAAGATTTGAGAAAAAAAAAAGAGCAACAAGGCACAGCCGGTACTATCTGAGAAGCATAGTGCATACAATACATACAATACCACAACTGGAAACAACTGGTTTCAAATTGTGATGAACATTTAAAAAAAAGGAGAAACGTTTTTTTTTGTTTTGTTTTTTTTAAAACAAGATTAAAACAACCAAGCTCTCTGCACAGAATGAGCGGCTGGCTAGTCTTTTGCAGCTAGCTACATGTCACTGCCGTCCATTGTGGACAGGGTCATGTGGAAATGTGCTGTACTTTATCACAAAGAGCCAGACGTCTCACAGACATCGTGGCGAATGGCTTTTACCAAGTGCTTTCAACCACTGGAATCTGAAGCAACGCAAGTGCAAAATAGTGAGGTCACATACTGTCTCTTAGGACATTTCTGAAGCAAAATGTAACAAGACGACGATGATGATGAGAAGCTTTCAATAAGAGATGGATGATGCATTTTCACAGACCCTGGATCAGGATTTGTGGGTGGTGGGGGACAGGAGCAGAGAGGAGGGTGTTCCTTCCAGGTTTGGCAGGGGGACAGGCATGTGTCCGTTGATTAGGCTGGGGAACTGTGGAGGAAGAGAAAGGGGCTGAGAGTTAGCGGGGAGGGGACGGAGGCTCTATGAAAGCTGCTTTCCGGTGAGGAACTGCAGCATGCTCTGGTTTCCTGTTTTTTTTATTCATTGTGTCTCTTCCTTTTCGTCTCTGTCCCTAGTACCTCCACAACAGAAAGAGAAGTCAACATTATTTGTGCGCAGAGGATCCGGTATGGTGTGTGTGTGTGCGCGCGCCTGTGGAGGGGGTGTGGTGTGTGTTTCACAAATGAGGAGCAGCTCTTAAACCAGTCCACCCTGTTCAAACCGGCTCCCCAGGGCTCAAACAGGAAGTATTCACAGGATTTCCTCTCCCTCTCACAAGCACTGAAACAGGACACCTCTGCTGGACCTGCTTACTAAGTCTCGACTAGTTTCACAACCGTTTGTGTCTGCAAAGTTTTAAGTATAATTTGTTTGCCTGAAAATGCTAAATCTAGAAGACGAAGACCCATTTTGCTTTAGACTGGCACTTTTGTAATGAATGGACAATGCTAATGTACATTATAGCCATATCAGTAAGAAATAAATGAGTCCATGTAAGTTAGGCTATAAAAACTGGAGCCAATCCCTTTATTACCTGTTGTAAATGATTGGAAATGGGTTCATCTTAATCTCTTCCAAAAAATCTTCCCGTCTCCACTCACCTGATGTTAACAACTGCTGGGAAGAACGGGGATTTTGCAGCAGTGCTAATTTCACCTGGACGGCTTCACTACTTCCTCCTTGGCTTTCAAACACTACCAGTAAACAACAATCCTTTGAGCACACCTTCTGTTCTCATCTCCTGCTATTTTTGTCTCTCTTCCTCTGTGCGTCCACACCTGTGTGTGTGTGTGTGTGTGTGTTTCTTACCTGGAAGAGGGAGCTGTGGCCCTGCAGCCGGGCGGGGCTGAGCGGGGCGACTGGGCTCAAACTGCTCCAGAAGTGGATGCCTGACAACAGCGGACTGTGAGCCAGCAGCAAACCAGAGGGAGTCTGTGAAGGGAGAAAGGGAGAGAGGGAGAGGGGAGAGGGG